GGCTGTACTGCAGCATCGGTAGGGCGACCGGGTCGTCCCGTCCTCCCCCCCAAACCCCGTCCCTGCCGCAGCGCAGCCCTGCGCTGCCGCTGTTATTTTCGGGAGGCAGGGGGAATAATTCTGCCCGAAAATCTGGCAGAAGGTCTGAAATCTGGCTGAGCTTCCCTGACATCTCCGGCCAGCTTAGTGCTTTTGGTGAACCACTGCTGCCTGCCTTGAGGGGAGGCGGCAGGGCTGAGGGGAAGAGGGACCAGGGAAGGGAGGTGCCGTGTGAGGGTCGGGAAGGACATGGCCAGGGCGGGAAAAGGAGGCTTCCACCTTCCTTGGCTATTGCGTCTGTAAACGGAGCGGGCAGCTAACAACCCCCCAACTTTTTGCAGATTCCCATGAAAATATCTGCCGTTACATTGCCAGAGAAAGCGAGTCGGTGGTTGTGTCTGTTGGGTGAGTTATGTCAGTACCACGCTATGGAAGTCTTTTTGCTTCTTTTCATGTCTCAGCACCATAGTGTTGCACGCCGTGTGGGAGCACTCCTCCTCAGTAAACCATTTCCCCAGGATCCCAGATGGTCAGGCAGAATTTCAAGGGGACTATTTTAATTTCTCCCCCCCCGTCTGCTAATGCAGGGAGAGTGCAAACAGACCCCAAAGTAAGGTTCATGTGTCTCACAACACAGAGCTATGCTGGCACCACACAAAAAGAAGGAATGCTTTCCAGAGGAGTTTTCTTACATGTTGAGAACTGACTGACAAACTTGGAAGATGGTGATTCAGTGATCTGTTTAATTAGATGTAATCATCCTGTAAACTTAAAGGAGTTTTCTAACAGTAAGAATCAAATGCTAATATATTTTAATACTAATAATATGGAAAAATATAACTCTGTCCCGGTTATTTAAATAAACAAAGAAAAATAAAATAATTATCAAGAGGAAATACCCTAAGTAAAGGTGAGGTGCAGACTGCTTAAATTACTTCATCCACAAGCCAGATGCAGCCTATACCAGAAGAGTAAAATGAACTTGTATCACTCAAGTTCTGATTAGTGCTGTTCTCAGAAGAAGAGCCCAACTATGCTATGTCCTTGCAACTTCATCCTACTGGCTATCCTTTATCTGTGATAACTTGCTGGACAAATACCTGTTTAGCAGATAATGACACCATTTGGGTTTTTTTCCTGGGGGAAAAGTACTCCAAACCACACAGGAAAAGCCAAAGGGCTGTAGGAAATTTGTATTTACAGTTATGACATTTCCTTCTCTTACTTTTGTTTCTCCTTTTGTGTATCAGGTATCGTTTAGCTCCTGAACACAAATACCCTGCTGCGTATGAAGACTGTCTTAATGCTACCATACACTTCATGAAGAATATCGAGCACTACGGGGTGGATCCTGCCCGTATAATTGTCTGCGGGGACAATGCTGGGGGCAATCTCGCAGCAGCTGTTACCCAGACCCTTGCAGGGAGATCAGACCTCCCCAGACTACGTGCTCAAATCTTGATTTACCCAGGCCTTCAGGCACTGGACTTCAATTTGCCATCCTATCAGCAGAATGGGGGAGTCCCTCTCTTATTCCGAGAACGTGCTGCTTTCTGCGTGTTACAGTACCTAAATGGGAATGCATTGCATATGCAAGAGATCTTGGAGGGCTCTCACATTCCTCCAGATATGAGGCTGAAGTATAGGAAGTGGGTGAGTCCAGATAACATCCCCGAAAAATTTAAGGTCAGAGGCTACAAACCACACAAGCCCCATGAATTCAAGGGTGAAGTTTTTGAGAAAGTTACAAGAAGCTTTGAGCCCAACTTGTGTCTGCTGTTAGCTGAAGATGCTCTTGTTGAGCAGCTGCCCGAGTCTTTCATCTTGACTTGTGAGTACGATGTGCTGAGGGACGACGGCTTGCTTTACAAGAAGAGACTGGAGGACAACGGTGTTCGAGTGACCTGGTACCACCTCGAGGATGGATTCCATGGAGTCATAAGCCTGTATGATTTTTGTGGTATCTCATTTCCAGCTGGGAAAAGGGGATTGGACAGAATTATTACATTCATAAAAGGCCTGTAAAAACAACTTTCTTTCTTTATGCTTCTCCCACTAATGTCTCCGTTTATGCTCCCAAACCTCACGTAGTACTTGTCAGCAAAAATGTGATACCCTTTGATGTGTAAAATACCAATTTTGATATTCATGAACTTCAAATACTGCCTGAACAGTGGTCTTTGTCCTCATGAGACTATTGACAGTTCAGTCTTTACAGTTCTAATATTTTCCACATGCTGTGTTTCAATCCCTTTTCTTTCAAATCAGTATCTGCTACAAGTGCAAGGTGGTTGCATAGCAATGATGAAATATTTTAGAAATCCTGGGTATTGCATGGCCAGCTGTTTTGACATGCAATGGCAATTACCTTTGCAAAAAAATTACCTTTAGCAAAGGTGGATCTGTCCTAATAAGCAATATAACAATTGAGCTGAGATTTTTTTTTTCTTCATGTTTTGGATATTTGCAGAAATTATTTTGGCAGCTTCCTTGCTGTTTACATACTTTCTCCCCAAATTCTGAGTAAACAAGTTGATTATTTATCTGATTACAAAAAGGCAAAACCCACTATGTCTCTGTCTTCCCTGAATGCAACCAAATGCTTCTCAGAAAGGAACTTTAGAGGACGTTCAGTTATGTTTGTCCACGTCTCCCTCACTGCATCTGTGTTGCCAGTCTCAGATACTGACAGGTAGCCATCTCATACAGCTCATGTTTCTGTACCTCTCTTCTGTGTCAGCCATTTCCCTTTAAAATCAGATTTGTAAGTACACCCAATTCCCTCCTTCAGATTTTACAACCAAGTCCAAAGCTACCGGTTGCCTATACACGTAGTCTGGTGATGATTCAGTTTCCAGCGGTGCTGGGGGGGCATTTTATCTGTGCTGTCATGCTGATTGTGTGTGTATTATGTCAATATGCATATGCACATTGCTGATTACTCATATATTGCATGCTTTAAAATGTATTTTGCTGTGGTGAGTTTTTATTCTTTGATGTAGGAAAAGAACAAAAACTCTTACAACGTGAGAACAGCAAAACAAGCATACCAATTAGTGAGCTTAAAAAAAAAAAAAAAAGGTGAAAAATACATCATGTTCCCAGGCTGAAAATCAGAATTCAGCAGACCATGCTAATATTCTTTCTTGCCCAGACTCTAATGTACAAATAGCTAGTAAATAGTTAATTGAAATACACTCCTCTGCATACCAGTTCATTGTATTCAAGAAAACATTTTAATAGCTTTCTATAAAGTTTACAGTGTGGTTTGCCATTTTACTTGATGATGGAAAAGAGAAAATATCATAACCAAAAAATCCCAGTGCACAGCAGAAGCATTCTTCCATGTGGTACCAGGTCACTTCTAAGTTGTTGTCCTCTAACCATTTCTTGTACAACAGTCCATCATCTCTGAGTGCATCATGCTCATGGGTAATTATACAAGTATCAGGTAGGCAGCAAACAACAGCGTCTGCTAACCGTGGGGAAAGTCTTGTCTCCAACAGCTCTCTTGTTTCTTCATGGACTTGAGGTAAAAATGGAGTGGGTAACGGTGGTTTATAGCCCAGTTTACATATGTCTGGGATAAGATCTGGATTTATGCGCTTCCTGTATTTCAAATTCATACTCCCAGGAACTTGACAGCCTGCCAAAATAGCTTCCTTGATAGAGAAATCCTTTTTCAAGTGCTTCAGAGTAGAACTGACTGTATGTTCCCAGGAGAAGAAGGCAATGAAAGCATTTTTCTGGTGAGATGGCAGATTAAAGTTCAATGCTTGGAGAAATGGATAGGTAAGTACCTGGGCATGTATCTTTGAGATACCTCTTCTATTTACCAGTTCTTGGCAAATGCTAGCAGTAGAAGTGTCGCCTGCACTATCCCCACAAATGTAATCTGATCAGGATCCACCCTGTAGTTTTCTGTACAGTAGCAGTGAGACAATCCAAAGTTTGGGCTGGGCACTTACGCTCAGGAGATAAACAATACCTGAAATGTACAAAAGATAGCAATTGCTACAAATGCATGTGTTTGTAAATTGCTTGAACGTGTCATCTTAAATGCATCCATGGATTATATATTTGCAGAAACTCACCAAAACCAGTATTACTTATTTAGCTAGTTTTGCATGCTGAAACAAACCAGAAGCTTCCCCTCCCAGTTCTGTCAAAATATAGAGACCATTAATCACTGAGATTTATTTTAGCATAATTTAAGAGTGTGAGGGCTTGAGTAGTGCACTCCAGTCACCCACATTATACAAAGCCACACATTTACTCAGTTCCTGATCTGACTGCACCTGCCTGGGAACCAAGAGCTCATGCCAGCAGGGAAGTCTGCAATTCTCTCATTCGGACTGACCTTGCGTGTATGTAGAGCTGTGAGTCAGTCCTTACCCACAAGATCCAGCCAAGTTCTGGCTTCTCAGCTTTTTACACTGGGGACGCTGATTATTCTGTTACTATATATTAGTATTGTATATTATTACTACATTTTAATATAAAAAGAATAATTTAATAATATAAAACACCATACAGTAAATGTGCTGTGGTGACAAACTAGCTTCCTGTAGACATTCATTTATTTTATTAATTGGAACAAGTGAATTACAGAGGAGTGATGTTAAAGTAACAATCTCTCTGTTTATTTCTTAACTAACAACTTGCTTTAGTATGATGAAAAACAAGGCAGCCAAGTTAAGGTGCTGTAATTCGATTCCAGTGGCATATAAGACTACTTTGAGACTACATTTTTAACAGCCATGGTTCTTTATTCTCTGTAGTTGTGGTCTTAGGGCTTTCTGGAGAAGATTAATAAGGAAAAGATAAATACTACACAGGTAACAGCGCAGGTATTCTCTCTTAACACCTCACTGTTTGCTGAGGCACACTGCTTCTGCATTTCTGTTTTTCACTATTCTGTGAAATTAATTCAATGGATTCATAAAGTAGACATCCTAATAACCAGGCAATAAAAGAATATCAGTATCTTATTTCAGAGTCACTTTAAATGCATTGTGACTTACCCAGATGAGATGTGGAATATGCAACTCATTCTCCAAACCAAAACCAAAATCATTCTCCATTCCTCTCAACTTAATAAAATTCTTTAATAATTCATTTTTTCATGGAAGAATTTGTTGGAAACTAAAGCTTCTTTATACCATCAGCTATTTTCCATAAGCAAAATATCTTTAAAAGGAAGCAGTGGTCCATGCAGTTTTTAAAATAATATTACATTTTAGTCTTATTATTTACTCTTCAAAATCATCCCCAAAGCCCCCTTAAATAATAAAATCTGAAATTGGGAAAACAGCTTATAATTCCTTATTATCGAACCAAGGCAATGATTTTCGTGGTGTTAATGACGTAAACCAAACAAATCTCTTGGTTCTTCTGAAAACAGCTGGCATACATACTACTTCTGTAACTTTATAAACCTGTAATCAGGTATTTCTCATTGTCATTCCATGGCACGTGCTTGCTCACACATACCAAAAAAATAGCAGTAGACAACACTAGAGATCAGTTTCTTATATTCAAAGAAATATAAGTACAGAATGGACATTGTTTGTTCAGGGGCGGGGGGAAGCAGGGGGAAAGGCAGCGGAACTACCTAATTCTGGGAGTAATACTGGGTGGAGCTCACTTACCCAACAGACACAACCACTGAATCAGATTTTCTGGCTACGTACCAGCTTATCCTTTCATGAATTCCCGAAGAACAAATGTTGTCAATGTAATTAATATCTTAGAATACTTGAAGCAATATCATCCCTCATTTCTTTATGACATAGTGCCGTGATTGAGTGTGGGCACCTTGCCTATTTAGTGAGCTACCCAAATTTTCTCTACCATAAAAATAATCTAGAGGTTTGAGCATCAGGACAGTCCACTGTAAAGTTCATACATTTAGGGAGATTGTTGATCTGTAAGGAAAATAAGGAATTACGATGATTATTACTATTAGACAAGGGGCAATGGTTTTAATCTCAGAGAGGATAGAATTAGATTGGATATAAGGAAGACATTTTTTATTATGAGGGTGGTGAGACAAAAGAACAGGTCGCCCAGAATAGGATGCCCCATCATTGGAAGAGTTCAAAGTCAGGTTGGACGAGGCTTTGAGCAACCTGATCTAGTGAAAGGTCCCTGCCTGTGGCAGAGGGGTTGGACTAGATGGTCTTTAAGATCCCTTCCAACCCAAACCATTGTATGATTATTACGCACAATTGCTTAGAACGGTTGTAAGGGATAAAATAGCTTGAGTTCTTTGTAAAAGCTTATTACATTGTTTTAAGAATTGTGAGTCTGAGACTGACTTAAGTATGTCATATAATTTTGTTGTGGAAATGCAAATTGTAGTACCATGGCTAAGTCTAAATTAATTCTGAATTTGAAGCAGAGATTTGACTATTTTCTGAGGAATGAAGGGTGCAGATGGTACACGCCCTGTGAAATCAGTATATTTCCGTGTGGCTAATTCAGGCAGAAAGCTAAGGCATCCAAACTGTGTTATAATAAATTGTCTAATTACATAATTATTCCATGGTAAGGTTGTGTGCAGAAATATGCCTCTTTTAATGTATTTAAAGATAGATTGAGTTTTCCTTCAACCTTAATTCTAAATTTGCTGCATTTAGAAGATTTGGTTTACAGATATTTTCTCAGTGATGTGTTCTTTCAATTACAGAATTACAGAATTCTAACACTATTTAACATGTGTGCATGTCTACTGCCTGCAGAAGAAGTATCTTTTAGCACTTTATTTAAATTACAGGCTTACATTTCTCTGCTTTCTTTAATAAATTAAACTGGCAAAAAAAAGACAACACAACTAAAGTACATGCATCATGGGCATACGTTTTAAAATGGCTGTTACAGGCCATTTGAATTGCCGTCAACACTGTTTATAGAAGACCTAATAAACATGCTGCAGTTAGAGATCAAAGGGAGGAATGCAGATGTTAATAACTTCTGTCAGGTTTTCAGACAAAAAAAAAGAATCTTTTTCTTTAGCAGCACCA